CATAACTTGATTTCTTAACTGATGCTTCCATAGATTCATATAAAATGATATCCCTTGACAGCTTCCCAATGTTTTCCATTTACCGAAATATTGCTTATTGGTTTACTTGTGCGGATTTTGTTTCATGTTGAGGTGTCCTCCATCCCGTAGGCTTGGAAGCATCTCTTCACTTGCAGTAAATAAGATGGTTGTTAGTGAGCCTTCCGTTAATCCTGGTGCCGCGTTCTTCTTCACATCATCCAGCCACCCGACTTACTGGCTCAGCACACAGTTTGAGTAAGTATGGTAGAAGAACATAACCCTGATGCACACTTTTCCTGACTTTAAGCTATGTTCTCTTCCAGGGGCTGCCTCTTGTCTACAGACAGGTTTTGCCTGAGCACAATTGTGTTCTGGAATTCCCATTCTTTGAAATATTATTCATATTTTGCTATGATCTACATGGTCAAATGCCTTAGCATAGTCAAGATGCTGGTAAACATTGTTCTGGTACCCTCTGCTTTCAGCCAAAAGCCATCTGACACCATCAATGACATCCCTCATTCTATCATCTCTTCTGAATTCAGCTTCCAATTTTGGCACTTCCCTGCTGATGAACTGCTACAACTATTAAAAAAAATTATCAACAGGAGAACTTTACACGTGGATGATATGAATTGATTTAGCAATAGCATATGCAAGCTCGATCACTCACTCCCTGAGAGACTTCATTTGATTCTAGTGTTATTTCTTTTCAGTTTCTGCATTGACCCTGATTTCCAAATGTTAGACTGCACCGACCGACTTGGAATCTTTTCTTTCTACCCAAATGAACTCCTTGATGATCCATCCAATTCTCACGAATTTAAATACAAAGCATATGCCACAAATATACTTCTCTGAATTAACTCCTACATCTAACACTGTTCTCAGCATATTTACTAGGATAGTTAGTGACATATTGAAACTGACTCATCCAACAAAGTTCCCAACACTACTACTGCCAAGTCAGCTCTGCCTTGGGACAGAGAACTACTCCCTAAGGTTTCCAAGACTGGCTCACCTTTCTCTGTGGAAGAGCATGCGGGTTTTAACTGCTGACCTGGATATAGTAGCCCAAAGTGTAACCGCTTTTGCCACCAGGATTCAGGATTCTTCCATCCAATATTCAACCTCTTATGTTCTCCTCTAAAAACTCTCTTTAAAATTCTTCTCCACCAATAAATGGAAACTCCACTATCTCTTTAAATATAACTTGTTCCCCATTCTAGCTTATTTTTGTAAAACTAACTTGATATGTTTGAAAGCCTATACTATGCTTTGTGTTTCTTTGTCTCTGTCTTCCATGTAAAAATGATCTATACGGAAGAATACGTTTAAAATTATTTTTACTTTACTTGGGCATATCGTTCCGTTTAGAGTCTCCCATTAATGGCATGCCCCGTACTACCTTAATTCCTCTATTTACATTTCAATCATTATAACTGGCACTTCTAAAGAATCACTAAAACAAAATTAAACCTAAAACTCACTGCCATCGAGTCCTACACTGACTCATAGTGATGCCCTGTGTGTTTCCGAGTCTGTTTACAGCAGTAGAAAGCTCGGTCTTTCTTCTGAGCAAGTGCCAGTGGTTTCAAACTGCAAACCATGAGGATCGCAGTCAACGCAAAACCACCACACCGCCAGGGCTCCTTAGATGCTTTAAATGGACGTGCACGTTTTAAAACTTGTAGTACATCTAAAATATTTAACTACATAAAACACCTTTATGTTGCGTTATGAATCTGAAATTTTAATACCAAAGGCTTTGAGAATGTGTTTCTATTTTTTGTTGTTTCTGCTGACTCATGCTAATACTGACTAAAATTTTCCTTTGTACTTTGTGATTTTAGATTGTGAGTTGATATTTGCTGGAACTCTATCTGTGGAGTTCTTTTGAGGTCTGGGTTGAGGACACCGGATGATTTTTGCTTGCTTCTGTCATGAAGCCTTTTAAGAGTATAGAATTATCAGGAACACACACTATGCAATTCATGAATAGCGAACAGTGAAAATTTCCCTTGCTGCCTGCTTCTTTAGTTTTTAAAAAATTTTAACCTTTAGAAAACGGCATAGCCCTTCAGGGATCTTAGCTTTGTGTGATCCAATAGCCCATTATTCACTAGCTGAAACCTTTCCACTTTCTTTCTTTATTATGTAAATTCGAGGCTGTGAAGATCAATATAACCTCTAATATTCTGATGTCAGTTTCTCACTCTAGATATGAGTTCTCTAGATCTCTAGATGTAACAGCTTTTGTCATTCATTAGTAAAGTAATAATTAACCCAAGAATACAGATTTGGGGGCCTTAGTCCTTGAGTTTCTGATTCGGCACATCTGGAACTTTTATCTCAACGTGCTGCACTCCTATACTTTAGCACAAAGCAGCCACAGGTCATGCTTAAATGAATGCCCCAACCAGTCAGTCTGGTCTTTTTTCTATTTCGAATTTTGTTCCACATTTTCCTCCCACTTTATCTAGGATCTTCTAACATATTCCCTTTCACCGTTCTTATGGTCTCTCAGGGTCAATGTAAGTTGGTCAAATTTGGCCATATGGTTATAGATTTACTTTATCCTGGCTGTCATTGAGATGTCCTTTTTTCTTGTAGGTACAGCCAGTTATTTGAACTTTTTAAAAAATATTATTAATTGGGATTTGATACATATATTACATAATTCAATCTCATCAAGCAGTGTTGTACAATTGCTACCACAATCAGTTTCCAAACATTCTTTTCCTTCCTGGTCTCCTTGACATTGTCTCCCTTGTACCGCAGTTGTTTTTATAATGAAGTTTCAGATGTCACAAAGTAGAAAATCTTTGAAGGTCTCCATTCTACCATATGGCTAAGTGAATCTTGCATTTGAATTTTCCATTTGCATTTGTTGAAAGAAATTAAAGTTCTTCTAACAGATCTGATTTTCCCCCTACGAGTCTAAATTGTTTAGTAGGACATGAGAATTTCCTCCATAGTGCTTGCGTTTGTTCCTAGAACCTCTCGCTGTCTCCCTTGTGTGTGTTATCAGCTCATTTTGACTCCTAGTGACTCAGTAAGATGGATTACAACTGCTGTATAGGATTTCCAAGACTGTAATCTTTGTGGAATCAGCTTGCTACATCTTTCTTCCACAGAATGACTGGTGGAATTAAGCTTCTTTGGTTAGCACAGGGCTGCTCTCTTGTAATAGGTTTGTGTCCATTTAGCTGGGTCAGGATTCTCAGTAATTTGGCAGT